GCCCGGCCAATTGCCGTGTTCTAATTTATTTTCTCATCTGTCTTGAAAACTCTGCTAAAAATCCGTAATCAAGGTGTAAGGCTTGATCAATCTAATTCTGACTAGTAAAACCTTACAACGTCTGTGGACCACTGGTTGGGGAACACACTGGATTAATCCATGTCAAATCCATGTATTTCTGATTTATTGATTGCTGTAAAGGCCTTATTTGTTGCATATCAGGGTTCACAAGATTTAAAATTTTCAATTATTCATGAAAACAGTACAAAATGTACACAACAGTCGACGAACGATTTTCTTTGTGGTAATGGTGCAACGCTGCTGAAATTTCCGACTCACTGCACAATCTTTTAGCAGAAAAAAAACACTGCTTGTTGTCAACTCCGGTTTTGTTTATGAAGATCTTTTTTTTTACTTTTACGCAAAATTTCTTGGTTCCCATAGGGACATTTTCGAAAAAAATATTTCCGTGGTTTATTATTTTTTTGCAGCACTAAAACACATCTTTATGGTACAACCGTGCAGAATTTCACGGAGATCTGATGTAAAAAACTATATTTCAGAGTTAAATATATTCTGCGAGTTGAATTTCAAATGCAAGCAAATGTTATTGATCTAGATTTCCAGGCGTCTACGTGGGGATGAAGCAGAATAATTTTCGAAATTATTTTGATTCACATTATTACTCGAAATAGCTTCACGGGGTTTTTCATTGAGAAGTCAGTTTCGATTGAACATGGGCATCATCAGCATCAGCGCGCATGAGTAAAATAATTTAAAATTTAATGTGAAACCAGCATGTATTTTGAGAACCTAAAGATGATCCAAAGATATTAGACAGTGCATGGAAAAAGGCATGATCATCAATTCAAATTCTGAATTACTCCTATGTGTCTCAATATATTCCACAATTTAATGACAGCGCCAGAATATTTTTATTCATGAATATTTTTCTCACCTTCGCTTTTTTGACGCCTTTTCCCAGTATAAAATTGGAAGCTCCCATCATCACAGAACGATAAAAAATACGAAGTGGGACATTATAAAATAAAATTAAGGCACGGCATTCTTCAAGAAGATCCAAAGATTATTGCTGAGCATACGTCCAATATTTATAATGTGATAAGAGACGTCATCAATTGTGGGCCGCATATATAATTTTCTTGCCGTGAGAAACGAATACAATTTTCCCTGTGAGAGAAGGGATGCATATTCACAATATTCAAGTTTTTTAATTAGACGAATTCGTTGATTATACTGCATGCATCTTCCTAATAGGTACGTATTATTACAACCAACATCAGCTATGATTTCAATAAGCTTTTTTCTGAAACTTCCAAAAATTCCAAGACATTTATGGATGCAATTGAGCCGTCCTTGATCCAAATTACACTATTTTGTGTACCACAAGATTTTATTGACAAATGGGCTTCGGGCATGTTTGAGGCAATTTCCCAGATTATAATAAGCAGAACTTTCGAATTTTTCATTTTTAAAAACAATTCCCCTCAATTCAATTACTGTATTAAATTTGATAAAATTGAGAACGCTTCCAACCAAAGAATTAAACCATGAATCAATTAGCTCATAAACCACTGAGGAAAATTGGTAGATTTCCTCCAGTGGTTACCAATAATGTACCAAATTACGCTTTCCGGGAATTTGGCATGAAAATATTTTATTTTTTTAATTTTTCCCCCTCAAATTATTTTCTTTTCGTTGTCCTCCATGTGTGGCTTTCATGTAGATAACTTATTTAAAAAGTGAGTGCCTATGTATAGATGAGAGACTCCCGGTGTTTCTTTAAAATTTTAGTCCTTTTCCCCAGCGTGTAATAGACAAATAGAGACTGGCATTTATTTCCTAAAGTTTTTTCTGAGAGAAAAATGGCAAAAAAACAGGGAGAAACACGAGGATCAATAATAAGGGGGGAAACTTTGCTTCCGCTCTGTTTATTAGAAAATGAGACAAGACTGCTTCATAAAGTACTGCGATAGGAAATGATTTATACTTCGGAGAGCCAGGCATGACAGAACGGTCAACCTGTGGACAGGATTTCTTCCCCCATATGTATTCACAACAACAACGAAATCAGCATATGAATTTATTCGTGATTTGCGGATTTTTTCATTTGTTCCTTTCTTTCCGCTTTCTTTCTGCAGCAGCAGGCCGTGAAAAGCGGGGAGCCCTTGCCAGAAAGGGACTACTTGGCAGAACTGATCCCGCCGCAGGTGCGACAGTGGGTGCAGGGCGTGTGGCGCCGGGTGCAGGCTTGGGAGCCGCCATCTGCGTTCCGGGCCGTGCGCTACGGCGGAGCCAAGTTCAGCGAGCGGGACCGACGAGCCATGGCGCGCTTCTTCAAGGTGGTCGACCTCATGTCCGATGGGCCGGACCAGTTCGGGGTGCCCTCTAGTGTCACCATGAACTTCTCGCTCCTCAACATCTGGCGAGCTCTGTGGGGCAACATCATTGACAGTGAGTGACACCTGCCGACTGTCGGGGGGGATTCCAATGACGCAATTGACAATTGTCGCCAAAAGCGGGGGGACTCTCTCTCTCTCACTCTCTCTCTTTTTTATTGTGTTTCACATCAAAGTTCTGTAAATAGGTGCACACTCTCTACAATCTGCAATTTTGTCTAGAACAATTTTGTGTGAAGTAGAAGGAATGTGTTGGTACGTTTTCCACTCTTATACCCAACGAGCATGAGAAGTGATTTTAAAATGTTTCATTTAAATCAGTAGGATAATTGAATTTAGCATGCAGACATTCCAATAAATATTTAAATAGAGTACAGTCTGAGAAATAATCACATGTGCATATATGGCCACTCAGGAGCATCGGAAATTTTGTTGAAATTTCTTGTTGCATTCCTTCTTCCTACATGCAGAAAGAGTGAAGTGAATATCAGAGTTCCTAATAACCTGTGTTCCGCGGACTGGTGCTGGTCCTCAAACATTGTTTGCCTGTCTCCATGGTAAATTTTCTACAGCATAATAAATCTATCAAAAGTAGCAATGGAGGATGTTGCAGTAACCTCCTCTAAAATGTCTGGCAAGACAATTTCAGTTGAAATTATCTCATGAAGAAGAAATGTTGGCTTTTCTCTCAATAACCCTTCCAACGAATTTTCACATGATGAGATAAATTATTTCAATTTTTCTCTCTGAGAGCAATGCCTTTTGTTAAGCCTGCCTTCCTGATTTTTTAAAGACATATGTCTTCAAAAAATCAATCAAGTATTCATTGTGGGATATCCCACAATGAAAACTTGATTGGTTCTTGACTTAATTTTTATAAAAACGCAGAGACTTTGAAATACCTGCCATGAAGTTTTTCAAGCTAAAGTTTTTTTAGTCTGAAAATTTTTTATGAAACTTTGCTGGTCTATGCGGAATTTTTTGGACATTTGTTTGTCTGGAAAACATTTCATCTGGAAATATTTGAAACTGTCCAATTTGCCATTCCATGGGCCCAAAAAGTTTGGTGACGTTGATGCATATACCCCTATTTTCCCTTTACTTGTACAGTATACTGAAACGACTTAGGGAAACGCTGTTTAAAATTATTTCTCTGAAAACTATTTTTGATGGCCTTTCATGGTGGTCAAGTCACCATTGGTACTGTATTTAGTTACGCATCATCTGTAATTTTTTGTTTGTTTACGAAGTTTCTTATCATACTTTATACAGTAGTTTTATACATTTTGAAACTACGATTTATGTGGAGACACATTGCAAATAGTTTTTCTCCCCCGGTTAATGGATTTTTTCTTATTTCTGACGTCAATGCAGCGCAATTTCGAATCTACAAATGAGCTTACAGACTTTATCACAGGTGCATCTACTTTCATACCTGGTCTGAATGTTACCTGGTTGTCTGGACACGAGTCCAATGCACCGAATGGTCCCACGTTGAGTGATCAACCAGGAGTGGTGCCAACTCAGCTACTACCACAACTGGACATTGGTGACCTTGTTGGACTCAACGCCACAAACGCCAACTTGGCCTTTTTCGTTGCTCGGCAACTGGTCAAGCTTCCTTTCTACGTCGGGCCCTTGGCAGGACTCCTAGGGCTACTAGGTGAGGAAACTTTGGAAACGTTATCGATGATCAGATAGATGTCGCTTCGTGAAAAACTCAAACAGTTGTCGACCGCGTATTTTCCCTCACGCGATCCTTTTCAAATAATTCTAAAATCTTTATTTGATCAAATTTATTCCTTGAATGATTTTTCGTCTTCTAAAATCATGCTCCGTTTAAAATGTCTAAAATCATTCTTTGAAGAGTGCCGAGACCGGAACAAAAATAGACAAGGGACTAGCAAAAAATAATAATGAATAAAAATAAAACGACTCAGGGTACACTCAACTCCAATTGACACGTAAGTGAAGGTAATTCGCATTCATTCCGCTCAACAGATTAGAAAAGGATAATTTACTGTGCATTTAGAAGCAGAAACTGGGGTAACCACTTTCACGCATACGAATGGCAAAAAATAATGACAGATTTTTTTACAGGAGGATTTCTGCGATAAACTTGTGACGAAGAATGGCGTTTCGGAAACGTCTTTGTTCACCATTAATGAATCGCTGTGACCTAAAAAAAAAACGGAAAGCTTTAATTACATCAGCAGCTTATTCAAGATTTCATTGTTATTACTTTGCTTTTGTACAGCGTTTGCAGCATTTCCCATTTCGCCAATTTTCACTGGAGACATGCATATGAATAACTTTCTGGTTGAGATTTCGTATGATGTATCCGTGTGCACGAATGACAACGAAAAGAAACTAATCTGAAGACAAAACATTTCAAAATTCAATATTTCCTTGCCAAATTCCCTAAAAGTTGAAGAAAATAACATATTCGTCTACCAACTTTCTTCCGGTGGTTTTATATGAGTTAATTGGTTGATGTTTTAATTCTTCGGCTGGAAGCGTTCTCGATTTAATTCGACTTAAAGATTAAATTACAAAGCAAATTGTTTTAATTGCCTAAAATTTCAATTCTTTTGCTTATTTTACCTGGAAAATTGCCTCAAACATGCCAACAGCGCATTTGTTCGTAACATTCTCTCGTCCACAAAATTCTGTAATTCGGATAGAAGTTGTCTGAGTTGCATCCAGAATTTTTTTTATATTATATAAAGTCGAAGAAATCAAATCATATTGAACCCAGCTGATATTGGTGGTAATAATACGAGTCTTAGAACCATGTAAATCATTAAAAAAATCCCTCTGATTCTTATTACTGTATATTGAATTTAGTGAACATTTCCCCCGTTTCGTATGATGTATCCGTATTCAAACAGGTTCACTTTCAACGAATCATTCAGAGCTCTGATCACCTTTTAAATCATGTAAAAATCGTCTCAAGTTCCACAAATGGTGCACACCAGTACTGAACCATTTTTGGAAAACATTTAGTCCGGAACAATAAAAATTACGTTCTCACAACCTGTGTGTCCGGGAATAATTTCCTTATTGTCACCCAAGTCAGCCTAGTGGATTTCTAGCACCTTTGATCATGTCTCGTATCACATAAATAATACACATGCTCAGCAAATAATATTTGGTCATTTTTGAAGAATATCTTGAAATTATTCAATGATGTGCCTTCCAGCAGTACTTTTATCGTTATTCTGCGATAATGCAAAATCTCATTTTTCTTTTGGGAAAATGCGTCGAAATAACGTACGTGAAATAATAATAATCAACTTCACGCGGAAGATTTGTTGGCGCTCTCAATTAATTTTAACATATACCAAGCTGAATAGTAGTAATGCAGAATCTGAATTGATGATAATACCTCCTTCCATGCCCCTCTAAAAATCTTTGGATCATCTTTAAGTTCCATGCAATGAAATTCATGGAATGGCTCCCTTCACAGATTTACATTTTTCCTCGCCACTGATTGTGATAAGTGAAATTTAAACCATCTGTTTTTTTTTTTTTTAGGACTGATCAATCCGGCAAAACGAAAGGATGAGGTTTGCAAAAGAGGCGATGGATCTTACGAAGACTGTCCGTGGTACAGACGAATCGACTTCATGGGTATCTTTGATGAAGACGATGATTCGGAGAGTGGACAGAGCAAGGGAATTGATGAGAACTGGTTGCCGCCACAGGACTTCGACTCACTTCATGGCGGCGCCGGCGGGGCGGATGTTGCGGCGGCTGATGCTCAGAGCCGACAAACTCGGGAATTTCAATACAATCGGCGCCCAGAAGTGCAAAACACTGTTTCCATGTGGCGTCAAATGCCCGTTGAAGAGCTGGGGAATAGGAACAGGTCAGTTGAACTTGAGGATCTATTGCAGTGTTCCCCAACCTTTTTGGGCTGGCGGATCGGCAAATTTTCATAAAATTTCTGCAACCCCGAAAAGTTGTGCTTGAAAGACTTTATGGCAGGTGTTCAAAAATCTTCTGCTTATTGTAAAATGAAGTTAAGAACCAAGGAAGCACCAACAGTGGAATGTCTTCAAAAAATAAATAGGTGGATGCGAAGACTGGTTTCTCCAAATGAGATAATAAATTAATTTATTTCAGCAGGTACAAATGTTGTCTGAAGTGTTATTATAGGAGAAAACCCAACTTGTTTCCATCAGATAAATTCAGCAGTCACTGTCTTTCTAAGATTCCAGATAAAGATAACCATCTTCATTGCTGCTTTTGATGCATTTATTATGCTGAAGAAATTTCTCAAAGACTAGTACAGTATAAGAAAATTTTGGTGGACTGGTACTGGTCCATGACCATGGGTTGGGGAATACTGATCTATAGTCATGAGTATCAGGACTCCTGACAGTCATGAGGGATTACTTTGACAAAATACGAGCAACACCTTGATTAGCAAATCAAAATTTGGTATTAAAAATTGTGTTGAGTGAACAATCAACTTTCAAAAATTGATGATCAAAAATAATGTATGTATCTCCTAATTATAATAAGACTTGCAGAGTGCCAACACCTGCATATCTCAACAAGCAGACATGTTTTGCTTAAGAAACTCTACATTTAAAAATTTCATTTCCCTATGTTTTTGCCTTGCAATCATTTTTTTTTGCTTAAAACACACCTCACAAAATTAATGCACTGATGGAACAAAATATGTTCATCATTCAAGGTAATTCTGTACTCTTAACTCTTTATACTCAAATCTTCCTCAATGAAAAACCTTCCTAATCTGTTTTTGCTTTGTCATCCCTGTTGTCTGGATTCCTGTATGAAAAATGTGAGATGGACTCTCTTGGCAAAAAAAAAATGTCTGCAATGACTTTCTCTGTATATAACAGGGTTCCATATAGAGGGTTCTCTCCCCATGTTATAGCAGTTCTATACAACAAAGTTTTCCATAAAATAATTTTTCTGGTCCCTTGAATCTTGTTTTAGAGTGAGTCCACCCTTATGGACCTACCCAACTCAAAGATTTCCCCTGCTGTCCCACAAAAATGATTGAACATTCCTTATGACTTTGGGATATTATTCTGAGGAGCCAAGATGGAGAGGGGCTATGAAAAACTCAAAAGGAAATGAATAAATTATTTGAGAAAATGTACCCTTGTTTCCTAGTTTAGCATCCTGTCAACTTATTTATGCAAGCATTCGAGGCCAGATCACCAATTTTTCCGTCCCTAAATTATTCCAATGCGCTTTTCTTTCCTATAAAAGGCTAGTTTCATAGACTCAAAAAATTCACATAGTAGAATTTTATTTTTCCACTAATGTGCATCTTTCCATAACAGGGTGAACAATGAGGAAGTAATGGGAAGAAACAAATTCATCAGCCAAAGGAACGGTAACCCTAGGAATAACCAGAACAAGCGAAGAAGGCCCAACCCCCCTGATTACACTGACGAAATCGACGACTGGGCCCAGAAGCAGTTGGATTCCGCCACCAGAGAAAAGCAGCCGTTCATTCACCCACCCGGAATGATAGACGATGGTGGAAATGGCCGCTTTGTGAGTCACGTCCCCATGAGAGTTGTGAGTGAAGAGGACGATGATCCGAATGAGGATGACCAGATTGTGATTGACCTACTCCATCCACGGCAACACAACACCGTGAGTATTTCGTTTGTTCATTCATTTGTTTGTTTGTTTTGTTTTGTACCCACCTCCACATTCATTCATAAATATAAGCTGCTTTTCATTCATATCATAATTGTCCGGATTCCGATTATTTGAAGAAAAGCAGAGCCGCTTTTGTTTATGGTTCGATATTTTTTTTCTCGAATTGTGTGTAATATTGAGCTGTGACTTACTGATCATCTCGACTGACGCAGGAATTTTGGCAAAATTATGGAATATCCATCTTCAATTCGTCCATCCGTTGATCAATATGTTAAAATATTATGCAGCTACCAATCATCCATGATACAAGAATTTCCGCGAAAAAATGCTGTCAATGTTATTCTGAAGAGTGGTTGGAGTTCTGCTCTACAGTATTTCAAATTACAGTTGGATCCCATGTTAAAGGCAATTGTTACTTCGGATACTTCCTCAATGTTGTTATATATAAAGTCAAACCTCTTCAAAACGAATTTCAAGGGAACATCAAACAATTTGAGCCAGAGGTTTCAAGTTAGGGAAACAAGCACTTTTGTTGGAGAAAGAAGAACAATTTGGGGGAAATTATAATTGGTGATATCCTATATGCATTATATAAATATCTTCCAAAATGAGTTGACAGGATGCCGAACTTGAAAGCAAGGGTTATTCATTCCTCCGTTAATCTACTCTCACTTCTTTTCAAAACACATCAATTTACTTCTTTCATTGCTTTTGTCATTCCTGTGTGATGAGTATAATAATAGCAAAAAGACCTCCAGAAAAGTCAAGTTATGGAGGTTTGAGCTAGGGGAAAAGCGTTTGAGTCAGTGAGATTTTTAATGCATTGTTTCTAAGTTAATTCCCAGACAGGGACTTGAACAAATTCAAAAAAGTGAGGTATTTGAATATTCAAATGTACGGAGACATTTTCCCCATAAACACTAATTCAAAACCACGTAATATAGAACGTGTTTCATCTGCGGCTGATTTTTATTTTTTCACGTCGGAATCCTTGGAGATTTTTGAAAATCCATGTCCATCTATGGAGGACCCACTTCAAAAATTAAATATAGTTAGACCCAAGATGCGGACATAATTGGTTAATCAAGAGTGTACCTAAGTTGAAATGCCCCCAAGTCTCATTTTCCCTTAGACTTACATTGTATAATTTTTAATTGGTGTTTTACAGACAAAAAACTCACCATATTCCATGAAAATAAAATTTTTTTTTCCCAATTCAAACTGATCCAATCAATATATTTTGGCACAATATGGACATTTGGGGAATTGAATGCTGATACCTCTGTACAGTACACAGAAATGTACAGTGGCATCCTCCGTAAAACTAATATTCAAGTGAAAAAGAGAGAAGGAAGTCCCTCTATGCTGGAGATAATTTTTTTAATTAGCTAAATGGACGGTAAATTGGTGAGAAAAATGCTCAAGATCTTTTCTTACATCAATTTTAGGGTTGAAAATGTCTGTTTCTTGTTATTTGGCTTGAAACTTACTTGAAATTTTACCTCAAAATGTCCATATATTGGATTGTCCTCATATTGAGGTGTACGCACATGGGGGTCTAATTGTATACTGTGCTTAAAAACGTTGAGCAGGACCCAGTGTCAAGTCCTGGAGAGCAGTTCGATGCCACGGCCTACCAAGACGACCTCATGCAGACGCCCGTCAGCACCCACAACGACCTCGGCACCAGCAGTCCCGGCCACCTGACCTCTTTGGGCCAGCAACTGGCCAACACGCATGCTGCCAGGTTATTTCAAAGTTTCTTTTTTCTCAAAATTTAACGACTGTACCTTTGTTTATGCGGTGTAGACGTACTGTACTGTACTGTACTGTACACTAAGGGCAAACAAATTCTGAACAATAATCTTCAACAATGGTAACTTTTCTCACCACTTTCAAAAAATTTGGAGTTCTCTATTTTAATACTGCAATTACTTTTGCCAGATAGAAGAATCAAGATTGAATTTTACTTCCAATAAGTGGACTCAAATTCATGTTTTTACTGAACACAGTTTTTTTTTAAATAGGAATTTGTGTAACTGGAAAATGAGGTGTGCATATTGTGTATGCTTATAGTCTTTTTTTTTAACTAAATTTTAACTTTGAATTTGAGGTGATTGTCAAATACTCGTCGAGATTTTTTGGTACTTGAGCATAAAGTACAGCAAATGTAGAGTAAGTACTGGGTCCCTCAGATCAAATTTGATGGTTTGTGGGTCTCCAATCAGAGATCTGCGTAGAGAAAAAATGAATAACCTCTCTTGCATTCAGTATAGAAACTTTAGGAAATTCCCCCGCACTAAATGTCCAAAGATTAGACATGCCGTTCGATTTTGGTCCCCAAAGAACTCAAAACCTTTAGGTCAAGGAAAATATCGAATAAGTGAAAATTGAATCGAATTTATTTCTTGCAGTTACAGCAGTGGGTTCGCTGGGAACAGCTACTCAAACACAGCACAATCCCAACCCCAGCAATCGCTGCAGCTCGAGGAATTCAATGACTACTCAATCAACCCGCAAGCAAATCTTCAACGTCTCAACCAGCAACAGACATCGTATCAACAAGCCTCTGCTGCATCCAACTTTTATCCCAATCAACAACAACAACAACAGCAATCAAACCCATCAGTGAATCAATATTACCAACGTCGGGAAGACGTCATGGCGTCTCCCGCCGGGGTAACCAACTACGGCGCCTCCATTCTGACGAGCGGCGACCCCGGGACGCCATCGGGCTACCAAGCCAGGTCTGCATCAGTAGGGGACTCCGGCTATAGCCAGCAAACGGGCTCCCAACAGGATCAAATGCCTGCCGGCAGCAACTCGGCCCCTCAGGGTTACCAGCCGATTTACTCGGAGCCCTATTCGGTGTCGCAGTACACGGCGATGCAATCCGGTCCTGCTGCTAACAATGCTGGCCCTCAAACGAATCAGCTAGGTTATTATCAACAGCAGCAACAGCAATATTATAACACGGGCAATAATTACAATAATTACGCAGGTTTCGGCTAGCTGAGATACTTATTTTTTTTATGAATAATGTAAAGAAAGGCGAATGCGTTACGTTTCACTTGCTCGTTCAGCCTGTGGTTTGAAGTGTCAAAAGCGTGTTTTTCCAAATGATTATATACTGTGTAGTAATTTATTCATTAGGCTTTTTTNCACCCTGGCAGAGTTTTGCTCTCACTCAAAAGATGAGGCCCCCTTTTTTTGTTGTAGCCCAGCTTTCCCCTCAGAATTTTTGAAATCAACTTGGCATTCTTTCTAAGGGTTGCCTCCAGGTAATCCAAGGAGCCTTGGATTGATAGCACACAAAAAAACATATTTTTTGTGTGCCGAAGAATATGTTTTCCCTGAAGAAAATTTTTTTTCAGCTCAACTGTAAGCCATTTTCATTGCTACTCCGAGAACTTTTGTTAGAACCCTGGTACCTCTCTAAAAATGCATTTCAATCATAGAACCTATGTATTTTATATATTTAAGAACTTAAAAGATTAGTTTAGTGTTCTATATTTTTTCCTCAATTTTCACTTCAATTCGTGGAACGATCAGAAAAATGTAAAGTTATGAATACTGAATCGAATCACATAGGCAATTTTCTGAGGAGGCTTCTAACACCATTTCTCATCAGTAACAATAGATGATGCTTTTTCAATGATGAGAAGAAAAGACTATGGAAGTCATGAAAAATCTCATTCCACAATTGATAATAGCATGATACCGACCTGAGGAGAAATGTGGGAAAATGTTGACATGAATTGCAAAATTTAAAGTTTTGAATGCAGGCGACATCTTACATCAACATTACAAAGCTGCTTCAGTTTGAACCGCATGCAAACGTGAGAAATTTATTACACTCATTAAAACATAAGTACTGAACTACTTTATCAATAATTTGGTTTCAACGTACCACTTTAGATATTTATAAACTTGAAAATTCAAAAGCTCAAGATTTAAAATTCTTCTTCAACAAAGATGTGTTGGAGGAGACGTAACAAGGCTTCTGATAACTGAGTTATACTGAGTTACTGACTATATTTTTAATTGTAAAAAATTTTCGATTCTGCAAGAAAATCGAAGGTCATGAAAATGCATTTTATGAATCTTGAACAGCATTAAAAATAAATTTTAAAGGGGAAAATGCCTGCTTATACTGTATTATGAAATCAGCGCATAATATCCAAATAAATGAGCTTTTACTGCATATATTCATCAGATTTTATGTGTATACAATGTTCCATATAAAACAAATCCATGCTGTGCTCGTTCCTGCGGGAAAAAAAACCGTCTCTCCGGTTACTGCACGTATTGCATAGGCCTATAGAAAACGGGAAACAACCGACATTCAATTTTTCATGAGCTCTCAACCTGCAATTGACTTCGCTGCGAGGCCAGCTCAGGGATTCCAAACTTGACGCACAATTTCGCCAAACACAATTTCGCCTCCAGCCAGTAAATACTGTATTCCCTTATTCCCGCAAAGAGTAAGAAACACACGCAGACAAGGAATAAATCAAACCCTGGTATGGTATGCACATGCAAGAGCCGAGCTAGCAGGGAATAAGCCAGAATCGAAGCAGTATGGTTAATTTTGCAGGACGTGTGTCACTCGTCATCCGCTCGATGGCCAGGAAGGTCGCATGTGAGGATGAACCCGGATGACTGCTAAAAACTGGCCCCAGTTCCACGACCTTCTCGCCCACGTTCGGATCTCGGCTAGGTCGACCTAACATATGATTTCCTCTGTATATTCAGAGTATTCAACCCTTTTGCGGCGAAGTCGGGATATTTTCGCAAAATTTTGTGCCACTGGACACTGGGAATATAAAAAATCTACTTTATTACCAAGGGCTAAGTTGGAGGAAAATCAGAGATATTTTTCTAATCCTGAAGAAAATTTTCAATGAACATTTTTTTAAAATCCCTCGCTGGGTGGAATTTTTTCCTGCATTCCTGGCGTAGGATTTGCATGGGAAAATCTTGCAAACAAAATAAAATTTGACTCCCAGATTTTTCCAGACTTAGGCCTCCTCAACCTGGATGCATTTCAGTAAACTTGGGTCAAACTGACATGCGCCACCCCCTGGAAAAATCCCAACTCTGCGGCGCACTGAGGAAGAACCCTCTGCTGTCCAAGGGATAACAGGTGGAATTTTTCTAAAACAATGATGTCTAACCCAATTTTCTCTATATGAGGATTTTTTGTTGGTCCCACAAAATTATTTCACGTGTTCCACAACTAAATTCTCTCTGCAACGCATTGTTTCTGCACACTTTAATTTCATTGTAAAGAGAAAACGAGGCCAGATAAAGGAGGACTGCAGTCCCTTGAATTTTCTTCTAGAGGATTTTGCTGTAGAAAATCCCAAAGAAAATGGAGAGACAACACAAAAATCTATTTACAGCAATTTTTTTCTGTCCTCTTGAATGTCAATGTAGATAGAACAAAATAGACCAGATAAGGGTGGACTGCAGTCCCTTGAATTTTGTTTTAGAGGGATTTGCTGTAGAAAGTCGAAAAAAATGGGCAGATAACCCAAAAATCTCTCTACAGCAATATACCCGAAAACATATGTTTTCGGGTCCCTTGGATTTTATTGTAGAAAGAACGCAATAAGAGACCAGAAAAGGGTAGACTTTATAATCCCTTGAATTTTTTTGCAGATAGTGCTTTGTCGTAGAGAACCCCAATAAGATGGGAAGAGAGCTTCATGGGACCAACAAAAAAAATTTTGTACACAGAAATTTTTTTAGATAAAATTTTTGTAGAGAGAGCCCACCTGTCCAGAGTGCGTCTGATGAATTTTATATTTGAAGCTCTTTGCACAGAAAATACAGTGGGTTCCCAGCACAAGGAAAAATTTGACATATGGACACTATATGATCGGGAAAGTCTGTCTAAATATCTGGAAAATATCTCAAGATATGAACACTAGGCCAAAATTTTCAAGCAAATAATAAAATTTGCATTCCTCATCATATTGAAAATGTTGTGATTTCTTAAAGAGACTGAGCTACTATAACTATGGACATTCAGTCAAAGCAAATCAAGCTATTAAAGCATGTTGACTTATTCTCCAGACATGCTATTTTTGTGCTTCTCTTTTCATGGTTTTTGGATCACAGAAAGTCAATAAATTTTTTTTTCATGTTGGACCATTTTTCATGCCAGAAAAGCAGATTCTATGTGGTTTTCTTGCATACATTCATTTAGAATGTTTGAAAAGTTGAGAAAATAGTTTACTGTTATGTTAAAAACATTTTGGATTATTTGTCAAGCATGAGAACAGTTGGAAATTCCCGAACTAAAATATATGAGAAAATACATGATAGAACATGCAGACGTTCCAAAATAGGAATGCATATAGTTTTGGGAACCTGCCACACCAGTGTGATGCATGCCTCATCAATTCAGACATGCGTAAATTGGTTGGAAACATCACTCAAATACAAAAACCCTTGGAAATATAGAGAGCCTCAGAAAAACTGCAAAACTTTGAGAAGTTTCATTCCATGAGATTCTGTCCTGGCATTGTCTTTGACTTGACTTTTTCTGGCCAATCCAAGTCCTTTAAAATGGCATGATTGAGGGCAGAGTACTGGATCAAGGTACTGGATGAGGTGAATTACTGAAAACGTTTTTGATTCTAAATTTGTATCAGTGTGGGTTGGGCTGTCATTGGAAGCAGTTGTGTACCCAAAAATCAAGAGCTTGCAGACAATTTTTTTGTGTTGTCTATCTTTGTGTCTTCTTACTTTGTCCTGAAAATCTGAAACTTTGTTGGGACAATTGAAATATATTCAAAAGTTATAGTAAGGATTCTACCAAGAATTCCAGGCCCTTGTCCCAGGCTGAGTCTGTGTTTTCTTAAACAAAAATCCTTTTGATACAAAGGAATCTTAATTTCTTATATGTTAAATTTTCAAGTGACAGTTGCCCTTATTTCTGACGTCAATGCAGCGCAATTTCGAATCTACAAATGAGCTTACAGACTTTATCACAGGTGCATCTACTTTCATACCTGGTCTGAATGTTACCTGGTTGTCTGGACACGAGTCCAATGCA